CTGGTACCTTATACTGACGCTGTTGTTCCTGGTGCCTTATACTGACGCTGTTGTTCCTGCTGCCTTATACTGACGCTGTTGTTCCTGCTGCCTTATACTGACGCTGTTGTTCCTGGTGCCTTATACTGACGCTGTTGTTCCTGGTGCCTTATACTGACGCTGTTGTTCCTGCTGCCTTATACTGACGCTGTTGTTCCTGGTGCCTTATACTGACGCTGTTGTTCCTGCTGCCTTATACTGACGCTGTTGCTCCTGCTGCCTTATACTGACGCTGTTGCTCCTGCTGCCTTATACTGACGCTGTTGTTAATTCTTGATGCTTATACTGACGCTGTTCCTGGTGCCTTATACTGACACTGTTGTTCCTGGTGCCTTATACTGACGCTGTTGTTCCTGGTGCCTTATACTGACGCTGTTGTTCCTGGTGCCTTATACTGACGCTGTTGCTCCTGCTGCCTTATACTGACGCTGTTGTTAATTCTTGATGCTTATACTGACGCTGTTCCTGGTGCCTTATACTGACACTGTTGTTCCTGCTGCCTTATACTGACGCTGTTGTTCCTGCTGCCTTATACTGACGCTGTTCCTGGTGCCTTATACTGACGCTGTTGTTCCTGGTGCCTTATGCTGACGCTGTTGTTCCTGGTGCCTTATACTGACACTGTTGTTCCTGCTGCCTTATACTGACGCTGTTGTTCCTGCTGCCTTATACTGACGCTGTTGTTCCTGCTGCCTTATACTGACGCTGTTGTTCCTGCTGCCTTATACTGACGCTGTTGTTCCTGCTGCCTTATACTGACGCTGTAGTTAATTCTTGGTACCTTATACTGACACTATTGTTCCTGGTGCCTTATACTGATGGAGAAATGAGGACGCAATGTTAAAGCCACCATTGCTTTCCGAGACTATTTCATCTAGGAAAGGTAGTCTACCTCTACTCCCAATCACTTAAGTGAACCATAGCACTGAACCTCGCTCGCATGCATCCCTAAGCTGTTAGCTGGGACTTGTGACCCCGACCGAGACACAAACCAGAATACCGAACTAACAACATACTACAAGAGCAAGAAGACTGCGAACTCGCTAATTAAAAACTCCTGACACCACACACAGCCCCCAAGAAAGAGACGCATGTCCTCCATGCCTTCACCTGCGTACCTGCAGACTGCCTACCCAACGAACTCACTATAAAAGCAAGACAATATTCCTTTCAAGCACACACAGCACCGCTCGTGTGCCAGGTAAGTTCACTACGGGCTCACCATAGCCTGTGCTACTAGCCCCGCTCCTGTGCCAGGTAAGTTACGGGCTAACCACAGCCCGTGCTACTTGGAACTTGTTCCGAGTAGCTGAATCTATGACAACAACAACAACATCCTTTCAAGGCACCTCACAAATTCATAAATAGTAAGGTACTTGAAGGAACACATAGTCTCTATATATAGACCAGACACAGCTGTCATGTTCATAGCAAATGGCACCATGAGTTTGTCAGCGCGGCGTTTCATACTCCAGCAGGGAGTAGGTAAACAACAGATAGCGTGACAGACGCCCGCCACGCTGGAAGAGAAGATGAAGCCACCCAAAAGGTGGCACGGGCATGAATAGCCCGTAGGTGGTGGCCCTTTTGAGCCATTACCAGTATCAAGAGCTGATACTGGAGATCTGTGGAGGTGCGACTGCACCTGCGTGACGGGAGATGTCTCCCGTGTCTCGCTGGGACGCTGCTATCATTATAAGTATTAAAGTCAGTGATGATGATGAAGATTAAGCCATCCGAAAGGTGGCACGGGCATGAATAGCCCATAAGTGGTGGCCCTTTTGAGCCATTACCAGTATCAAGAGCTGATACTGATGATCTGCGGAGGTGCGACTGCACCCTGCGTGACGGGAGATGTCTCCCCCGTGTTAAAGTCAGTGATTGATTGATTGATGAAGATTAAGCCACCCAAGAGGTGGCACGGGCATGAATAGCCCGTAAGTGGTGGCCCTTTTGAGCCATTACCAGTATCAAAAGCTGATACTGGAGATCTGTGGAGGCGCGACTGCACCCTACGTGACGGGAGATGTCTCCCGGACCAAGTGGTGACCAGATGGTGTAAAGTCAGTAACCAAGCAATGGCTTTATATCAGCCCTACAACCAAGACTTCCCCACCAACACACACCACAACATCCTCACAAATAACACAATAATCGACAAATGCAGCATCAATATATGACGAGGCATCAGTGAGGCGTTATACATCAAGCCAAACCAAGTCATCTGTCAACAGTGTACAGTACTAACACTAAATTACTCTCTGACATCTTCGAGAACACAACGAGTCATGTATTATACTGCCCCAGCCACCGTGGAAACGTAACTGAAAACTCACACCCCAGAAGTGACTCGAACCCATACTCCCAGAAGCAACGCAACTGGTATGTACAAGACGCCTTAATCCACTTGACCATCACGACCGGACAAAATGAGGTGATAGCCGAGGCTATTTGAACCACC